ATTTATATATATTTTAATTTCAGATTACAAGCAAAAGTAAGGAATCCATATGGGAGTTCATCAAGAGTTTGCTGGATGCCTGGTCAGGATGGGTTGTAATGCTTCTCATAGGACTGCTGGCAGGTATGTGTGTGTTAGCATTACAGTCATGCCCAAAACCATCTCATCCAAGTTTGCTCCAGTGCCATCTGCTTCTCTTTTTTACTTCATTGTCTCTCCACTGATGTTTCAAGCTAGACAGAGTGCTACGTATCCATGCCGTTATAGTTCTTAATAAAAATACCCACTTGCAAAGTCTCCTGCTGAGTGCTGACCTAGAAAACATGTTATTCACCAGCAGAGGGTTTTTTTCTATTGCTTTTGGAAATATTCGTCTGAGTGCTTTACACTCAAATCTTTGGTTCACAGAAGCCAATTTTATTGGTAGGATTTTTTATTTCTTGTCTTCACTTTATTTCTCAAGTAGATACTGTGATATGGGAAAAATGTTGGTTGTGGGCACTCAAAAGTAGAGCCTTGTAAATTGCTGTATCCAATGGGTTATCTTCCTTATATATGCATGAAGGGAAAATACAGTTTCAGACTCATTTCAGACCTGCTTCCAGGCCAGGCAGACAATACATATTTAACAGCCTGCTCAAACTCAGATGGCAAATGTGTTAATTTACAGAATTGCTTTACTGCTCAGTTTAGCACATCTTCCAACTTGGAAAGCTGCACTTATCTTTCCAAGTTGGAACAGCTGTCATTTTTTATGCTTTTTCAGTGATGTCAGGGTGCTCTGGTATCATGCTGATTGATAAAAGCATGATGTAAAGTTTCACTATTTCCAGGTGGTGTGAATTTCCTGCTTACCAAGTAAGTTGAGTAAAGAACTGTTTATTACAGTTGTTCAGGAGACTTAGAAGTACTTATTTTGTAGAAATACACTTGTTGCCAGAAAAACTTTGATGAGAGGAAGAGGTGGGAATAGAGTCCAATACACTGTGTACTTGAACCCTACCTGGAGAATAGGATTGGCCTCATCTGGGACAGAGAGTTTTGCTTGCAAATAAAGTTAGAGGGAGCCCTTGAGGGCTCTAGTGACCTCCCACAGGTTGGTCAGTAATCCCCTCACTCATACAGAGAATGTGGTATACACTCACACACTCCCTTTTTAGTAAAAATATCCCAGAAGGTTTTTTTCTGTTCCAGTTTGTAATGCAACCTCATGCTGAAACGTTGTTGAAAGCCAAAGTTTCTGACCTCTGATAAACTCTAGTGCTGGTGCACCCAGCTTGGGAACAGAGGACGAGGGTGGGCTTCAGCCAGTATGTGTCAGCTTTTGCAGCCTTTTCAATGACAAGGACGCAGAGCAACACATATTACCTCAAAGAATAAAATCAAATGAGTCTGTTTTTAAACTGGGACAAGGACTTGTGAATCAGCCAAATCTGCATGCTCATGATCTAGGCTGAGCCTTTTTCTGCCTGCTGTTGAAATGGCATGTGCTCTGTGCCTTCATAATTTCTGGGACAGGGCAAAGACAGAGTCATAACCTCAGCCTCAGCGAGGTGTCAACACCACTTTGATGAGTGGAGGAGGTTATTGATGAGTGGATGAGACTTCTTTACCAGATTTGAGGAATCTCAAAGGTGAGGTTGGTGATGAAGTCAAGAGGCACTTCAAGTAATTTCCCTCTCTTCTTGAAAAATTGCCTGCTCAAAGCATCTGGCCTGCCACAAGGGCACCCGTGTGATCACATGGGGTTGCATGGACCAGCCTGGCTCCTCTGTGGTCCCTCTTCTCTTGCTGAACAAGCAGAAGCTACTGCTGCTCCAAGGGGAGCAGCCTGGCTCAGCCACATGGACACTGGGTGGTCTCTTGGCAGCCTGGGCCCAGGCATTGCCAGAGGCAAGGAGAGGATGTGGTGAGGAGTGGGAGAGGAAGGGGAAAGCGGCAGCGGACCCAAGCACGTGAGGGTCTTGTGGAGCACCCTGCCCCTGCTGCTGCCTTGCTGGGAATGTGGGACAGCAAGGTGGCACTCCTGGGGAAGGGGATGGCAGAGGCCTCCATGTGTTCCCAAAGGCACCTGGACAATTTGCCCAGGCCCAGGAGTTTAAAGTGAGCTTAACTAATCCAGAAGCCTAAATCCCACCGGTTTGGTCAACCGAATCTTTCAGGTTTTACAACACCTTGAGTGCTGCACCTCCACAGCCAACACAAGCTGATGTGGCCAGAAAGAGCAATCCTTGCTCTCCAGTGTCCCTGCCATCGGGCCCCATTGCCTTGTACATGTGCAGGTGAATCTGGGAACTGACTTGGTGGAAAAATGGGGTTTGGCCAGGTTAGTTGTCAGTTGATCAATGAGTTTAGCAGGGTTGGTCACCACAGAGTCACAAACAAAATATTGCTGTTGGGAAGAGGCTGACAGAGGGAGGAAGGAGAGGACTGTCCCATTTTGTAGGATGACTCATGTAGTTTTTGGAGTGTCATCAAAACTGCATCCTTCACTAGTCCCAGAAAAGTGTAGGTGGGAAAGTGGTCTCTGGAGGGAGTTTGCTTTGGCTTCCTGCTTACAGCAGGGCCAGCTTCAGAGTTAGAGATGTTTGTTTTGAGTAACACCAAAGTATTTTAAGAATGTAACAGCAGCCATTTGGTGTCAGACCAAAGTTTCACAAGTGAAGTATGCACACGTTAATTAGCCTGAGCAGAGCCCATTGCTGCTGCCACAGAACCACACAGGTACCTCCCAGGCTCTTTCAGAGCCAGGTACCCTGAAGGTCTCAAACCCTCAGGTGCTACATGAAGATGGTGTATGACACTGTCAAGTGGCTGAAAAGGCACTAAGGAGCTTCTGCAAATGAGGTCTCAGGAGGCAGAACCTGCTCATTGTGGAGAGGAGGAAGGAGAAGTGTCACCCATGAATTCTGTTTGGTGTGGAGATCAGATGAAAACTGCTCATGTGGTGTTCCAGAAAAAGATACTGAGCAGAACCTGGGCCTATCTCAGAAAGTCTGCACACTTTCTGGAGAAATACAAAGCTGTGTATGGGGAAATTAGCCTAAAAAAAATGTAGGTATGGGTGCTGAATTTTTAGGAACTGTTTTTTAAGGAATTCTGAGTTTTTACAGTACCCATCCTTTCTGAAGACTAGTGGCCATCTCTCAACCTAACTGTAACTAATAGTCAGCTGAAGGTATATGCTATTTATAGATCAGCAAAAGAGCCTGTGTTTTCTAAAGCTGTATGTCAAAACGTACTAACATACTAATGCTAAAATGCTTCAGTACTTGGAGCTGGATGTGCAAAAAGCCCCTTTGTAGTTCAGTGCTCTGTGTCACTTGGGTGGTGCCGTTTTCTGAACAGGTGCCTCAGGAAAACTGCTTCCAGAACAAATTTTTAGCATTCTCATTAAGGCATTGAAAAGGATGAGTATTTGCCATTATCAACCAAAGGAAAAGGAGAGAGGTAAAAGGCTGGTGTCTAAAATGAAGTTCAGCATTTCTTGGCTTTGGAGTACTTCATTATTTTTCATCCCAGGCAGGAGGTTACATAGAAGGGGGAACACCTTTAGTTCCTTTGATGGGAGAAGTAGAGAGATAAACTTATGGTCTACTACAGTCTAGACAGACATGGTAAGAACAAGAAATTAAAGGCTTCACTTTCTGAGATGCTGAACAGTCTGCAGCTTCCTTTAATTTCACTTGAAGTTGCAAAGATTCAGAACCTGGAAAACTTCTAGCTCTGGTCACGAGTCATGTGAAGCATTCACTACTGCACTCCTATCCTGTAAGCACTGGCCTTCCCCTCTCATGATTTTCTTCTCCATAAAGCATGTGTAGTAAATTGCATGTAGCATTTTCCTCCTTATGTGAATCCAAAAGCGTTTGGCAAAAGGGATTAGATCAGCTGCATAATTTAGCACATTTTCCTAGAGTTAATGGGGTGCATGGGAGCTTGTTACATTAGAGAACTGCAGGCTTGTTGCTTACTCTGTGTATCAGCTTTTTTTGGGGAGAAACATTCAAAAGCTTGTCTTCCTTTGCACCTTCTGCATTAAAACTCAGTTGCTTGGTTAAGTGTGATGTGAGCTTTGGAGACTGGGGTAACTACAGAGAATCATAAAGGCCCATCAAGAGATGCAAGAGGCACAACATTTGGTGCTCATGTTCAAGGAATGAGGATTCTTTGTACAGTTTCCTGAAGAGAATTTAGAGTTTACTGCAAAGATCAGTAACCTACACATGCTGATGTTACTAACAACACATTGTTTTATCATCACTTAAGAATATGGTTCATTTTTTCCATAGAAAATTCAGAAATTGGAAAAGGGTAAGCAAGAGAAAGGGAAAGTCTTCATGAAAGAAAGTAGTAGGTACAGACATCATTACTCTCTCCCACAGCCTTTTATTTTTTTTTTTTTTTTTTTTTTCCTTTTTCTGGTGATTCTGTTTAGTATGTCTGTAGAGTTCTTGAGATTATTCCTCTACCACAAAAATTCTTCACTGCTAGCCTAGTGAAATGCTGGGGTCTGAACCCCGAGCCCCAAATTAATGTTGACATATGGGTGATTCCCACAGCCCTTCATACAGCGGAGATGAGTTTGCCTTATAGCTTCCCCCCAGGGTGCGGCCGGCCCTGCAGGGAGAGCCATAAGGGAAATGAGCCCCAGGGGTCCCACACTGAGTTGACAAAGGTCAGGTGTCTGCTTGGGGATAAAAGCTGGGACCACTGGCAGGGAGTCAGGAGTGTCTGTCTGTGGAGTGCACTCCACAGAGCTTCCTGGTTCAGGGCAGACCTCCTGACTCTCCCTGGAGCTGGGCCCTGGTCTGTTTAGACCTTTGTGAACGTGGGCCGATCGGGTGAGAGTTGCCATGTGGGCACCTTTCTCTTATGTATTTAACTGGCTGGTCTGGCTGTTTCCCATGCCAGCTGTGGGAACCCTTGGTTCACTGTTTGTACCACCTGTTGTGGGCCAAGTCACATCTTTTGTGGGATTGCTGGGGGTGGTGTCGTTTATGTACCAGCTGATTGATCTGTTTGTACCCCTGGCGATCATTCATGCAATGTCCTTTTTGTTTACAATACAGTCTGTGTATTGGATTCTCTTTCTGCTGGTGGTATCATTTTTGTTGGGCCCGGTCACTGGCAGAACACCTAATCACGTTGCTTGTCAGTGGTGGAGACAATAATCCTTCTTAAGGGAGTCAGAAAATATACATGTGTATAAAGCTCTATGAACACTGGTTATTTTTTTTCTGTTCTGTAGAACAAAAACAGGTTACACGTGACTGAACTATTTGAAATTCATTATTTTTTATTTTTTCCTCTCTTGCAGAAACAAAAAACAGAAAACTTTAGTTACAGGTCAAATAAACTGGCTCTTGAACCCACTTGTGTGCCCCAGCTGCTAGGGTAAAAGGGGAACAGCCCCCACCCTGCTTCGTGTCACTGCATTCTTAGCAGGAGCCACAAAGCTAAAAGTTTTGAAAACATAAACCCAAACCATTTTGCATTTCCAAAGAATTTTTTCCCAGTGTCTTAGTGCTACTGAAATGCACTGATAAATTGTGTTCAGTTCCATTACTGGTTTCCTGAGATTGTATTAATGGCTACTTATAAAAATAATGTTGACTTCTACTTTCCATTGTATGTGAGAGGGGTTTGGAAAACACTAAATGTCTGTTCTATCAGTTGGTGGTTTAATGCTTTCCAGAAACTATGGGCATAGGGACCAAAGGCAGATCTGCCTTTCTGTCTTCTGGCTGCTGTTGCATTCACCTGCCCTGAGGATGCTGGTGTTGGGCTGGTTATTATCGCTGGTGAGTAAATGCCCTTTTAAAAGGAAAAGGAGGATTTTGGGGTTTGTGTCTGGCCACAAGCCAGTTCGCCCGTGCCTGTGTCTGATGGCCACCAGGTGTCACTGTAGCTCTGTGTAAGTACTCGGGAAAACATGAAATAAAAGGGTTAGTTTGGTACAGAAAGGATTTGAAGGATAATTTTGTCCTGCACGTTTGGACCTGATTTTGTTAATTTCGTAAGTCAGAATTTGGCATCTATTTTGTTTCTGAACAGAAATCATCCCTCTAAAAGGTTGATGCACTGGGACCAGTAAGATTATAGGAAAACATATGTACCCTTCTGCTCCCTGCCCCCCAAAATGCCCAGTGTGGTTTGAGACCTTCAGTTTACCATGGGTATAGAGACCCTGCATAAAGTCTGGCTCACCTCAGTCAAATGGTGCATCTGCCTGGGACAGACTGCAGGATCAGGCCCTACAGCTGCTATGCTTTCCATCAGACAGTACGAAAATAATAATAGAAGAAAAGCTTATGAGAGAGCACTGAAGGTCAGGCAACAGGCTGGTGTGGCCATTTCTTTGCAAGCTTCTTGTTGTCCTCAGTTCCTTGGTATATTTGTGCTTACATTGTAGCTGTTTCTCTAAATATAGTTGTTAGTTTTCTTTTCCTGTAATTATAATTAGATATATTTCCCTTCCAACTTTGTATTTTTTAATGCCATGGTTTCTTTTTCCATTTCTTTTCCCAGGCACATTAGCCGGAGTGATAGATTTGGCTGTGGATTGGATGACAGACCTGAAAGAGGGTGTCTGCCTGTCTGCCTTCTGGTACAGCCATGAGCAGTGCTGCTGGACATCTAATGAAACTACATTCGATGACAGGGACAAATGTCCCCAGTGGCAGAAATGGTCTGAACTTCTTGTAAGCCAGTCTGAGGTATGGCAGACCTGATTAGGCTGGGGTCACAGCAGGCCAGGGAATGCCTTTTTTCATACTTGCTGATGTTCCCTCCAGAGAGTTTCTCTGAAAGAGAAACTAATGAACTAAGCGTGATGAAAAAAAAAAAAAAAAAAGACATTTCCGCAAGCAATATCTGCTTAATTTGGGAGAAGTCCCATTGTTCCAGTGTCGAGTGTCATGGAAACTGCAAAACTGTGAGACTGCTCTCTCTTTTTATCAGTATGAAATCGAAAGTGTTTCATAACACTCATACCATAATCACCAGGGGACCTGAGCTGCTATCCCATTTTTTTTCTTTTAAACACAATTTTGTGAGACAAAAAAAAGATGTTCTCTGACATATTTTTTAGAAGAAATTTTCAGGATTGCAGATGTTTTTTATGTATTTAAATGCTGTGAGTAGTAGTGGGAGCTGCATAAGAACTGCTTGTTATACCTTTGCAATCAGATCCTCTATCAAGTAGCAAAATATTTAGCTAGCACTGAAAGCTGGGGAAATAATGGTCTTCCTGGGAGGTGGCCCGAGTGAATAATTAGCAGAAGAGACAGGAAGGGAAAAACCTGATCTGGACTGATGTGCAACTTGTATTTTAAGAATACAAGAGATTTTTTTTTCAGTACTTTTTTTTTTTTCCAAAAATTGTAGGTATTTTAAATACAGAGAATACTGTTTCAAAACAAAGTGGGTGAAAGTTTCATTTTAAAGACAATCAAAAGAAGCCTGTCTCTGTTCCTTTTATAGCAGATAATACTTTTACAAAAAAATACGAAAAAAGACATTTTACTGTCAACCTAAGCTATTTCATATATTGAATAATATTGATCCCTTCACAATTAAAATTTTTGGATAGAATTACTATCTTGAATTCCCCCCCACCTCCATTTCTGCAGATGACCTGAATATGACAAAAACTGAATATGACATGGAGGTGGAATGAATGTGGTTTTGAAGAGAGCTGGCTTAAGTATGTAATGAAACGTTGAAAAAATATCTGGTAATGCAGTGTGGTCAATAGTAGGAGAAGAAAAGATACCCTTTTATGGGATAAATAATCTCTAACCAGGCAATTAAAAAATAAGTGACTTGGAGAGATTGCCTTGGCTCTTTCCCCAGTGTGGAGCTAGTCTGGTCCTGCAGAAAGTGTTTGAGGGCCCCTTTGTCACCACAGAAATTTATCATTTGTGTTCCTTTCAGTGCCACATCAGGTTTACAGTACAAGTAGCACTAGATGAGAATGTGAATTTGTGTAGCCCAATTTTCCATAGTTCTGATTAACCATAGTGAAAGTAGTGGGGTGCTCACCATTTAATCTCAGGCAAAAACATCTCTGCACAGTTGCCTGTCTACAGTGCCAATGTTCCCTTTGCCAGAGGTTTACTAGGTTCACACTGATCTTCATCAACAGATGGTTTGGGTAACAGTGAAGAAATATTACCCTGGTGTAAAGTGGACAATGTTGTAATTTAAGAGAACAAAAAAATGTGGGACAGGAAAAAAAAAGAGGAGAGTGTTGCAGTTGTTATGGGATTTGGAAATCCTGTGCATGTGATTGACATGCTGTTACTCTGAAAGGCTGGAATATATAAACAGAGCATATCCATGAGAAAATGTATTGCTTTCACCTGCTACCTGAAACCATCGTTCATGACTGTTGTATGCTGTGCCCTGTAAGAATGGTATCGGCTAGGTGGGCACTATGAAACTTTACTTATTTTGTATTCAGATTGGGCTTCTTACCCCCTAGTGTACTGTCACTGTGGAAGAAAAGATTCATCCTGGCTTAGTTGTAGTCTCTTTCTCAAAACAGAAAACCTCTTAACAGGCCTCTTAGATCGGTGGGTTTTCAGCTGCCACGGCCCAATGGATGTTGTAAATATTAATAATATGGCTGTCTATTACTGTTACATTGAAATCCCAGGCAAAGCCCAAAAAAATGTGTCTGCGGAAAGTGAAAATTCTATTTGGTAGCAAAAGGCTTATGATACGGCCAAGTTTTGCATGATTCCTGTAGCTGGAGAGGAGTCTAGGAGTTCTGGAGCCCCCATTACAAAAGGGACGTGGACCTGCTGGAGCGTGTCCAGAGAAGGGCCACCAGAATGATCCGAGGGCTGGAGCAGCTCTCCTACGAGGACAGACTGAGAGAGTTGGGGCTGTTCAGTCTGGAGAAGAGAAGGCTCCGAGGTGACCTTATTGTGGCCTTCCAGTATCTTAGGGGGGCCTACAAGAAAGCTGGGGAGGGACTTTTTAGGATATAGAGTAACGACAGGACTAGAGGGAATGGGGCAAAGCTGGAAGTGGGCAGATTCAGGCTGGACATGAGGAGGAAGTTCTTCTCTATGAGAGTGGTGAGTCCCTGGAATGGGTTGCCCAGGGAGGTGGTTGAGGCCCCATCCCTGGGAGTCTTTAAGGCCAGGCTGGATGAGGCTCTGGGTAACCTGATCTAATGGGAGGTGTCCCTGCTCATGGCAGAGGGGTTGGAACTGGGTGATCCTTGTGGTCCCTTCCAGCCCTGACAGATTCTGATCTGTTTTGGCAGAGGACTTTAGAGCCCTAATGGTTCAATGGTTGGACTTGATGATCTTGGAGGTCTCTTCCAACCTAAATGATTCTATGATTCTATGATCAAAATACACTGAATTTCACTGAGTTTCAGGATAATGGTGCCTTTTTTTTAATTATTTTTTGTATGTTGCTTCACTTTGTGCCCAACATTTGCATAACAGCCCTATAAAACAGCAGTGCACAGGAGGACTAATTTGGAGCACATATAAGACAAAAATTATTTGGAACAGTTTCCCTAAAGGTACTCTGATCAGACATGCCTCTTTTTTTTTTTTTTTTGTGCATGACTGTGACTCTCTCATCACAGTCAACTAAATTTGACATTTTGAGGACTAAGATTTAGACCAGTTCTTCCCTGTGGTTTTGCCGATTTATGCCTGTGATAAACCCTGTGCATACGTTCTCACTGAGCGTTGTGACATTTCCTATGGCATCTCTTGAAAAGTGTTTTTGTTCTAGTCCTCCTGTAAAATGAGCCCTTAGCAGAGTCTTGATATAAATTATTATGGAAAACATAATGACACATCAGACACATACCAGGCTATGTTTTCTTTCCTAATTGCTGTTTTGTAGGCCAGTTATATACTTCATCCCTCTGGTGCTGAACTGCTTCCAAAGCGCAAGTGAAATTTTTTTGTTGTTGTTGTGAAAGATTTGCAGAACCTCAAACGCACTGGAGGAGTGGACATGCTAAGGCACATCAGGTGCCACCCACTGGAGCTAGATCTCTAGCCAGTATCTGGTCACCCAGAACTTCCCTATTCTGTAGATCCAGCCTCAACTTCATTGCAGCTGAGGACCCCATTTCTGGTGCTTCACACCTATCCAAGCTAGTGGAAAGGACCCTGTGTTTTCCATGGCTTGTGACACTGGATCCAGCGATGGACTGGATTCCTATCCCAGGGCTTCTGCATCTCCTATCATGAAGCTGAGACTTGCAAGACAAGGAAGCCCCTCTATACCTGGAACCCACTTCCCAATTTTGCAGCCTTGCACTCTTGAGGGCCTTGAGGAGACATGTTGCTGTAACATCCACAGGAGGGAGTCTGCAAGCTGTGAGATCCCCAGTCGAGAGAGCATAGAGCTCTGGGCCTCTGGAGAAAACAGGCATTGGATGGCATCTTGGGGGATGTAGTTTATTTCCATATTTTGAGTTGGTGAGGGTTGTTTTCAGTTGTGTTCCATTTGTACCAAAGCTAGACTGACATCAGATCTGAAATACTGCTCAGTCTGGTAAAGTAAAATGCAAAATTTTGCCCAGTTCCCCTATTAATTTCATTACTATTGCTGCCAGGGTGAGTCTTTAGAGCTGTTAGTGGGAAAGGTCTCAGCAGTATCATCTGTGCTTTTTGATCTCTGATTCCAGTGTACGTGCTTAAGATTTACTGACTCAAGACCTTAATAATGGCATGTAATGAATGAGAAATGAGCTATTTGCTACACTGAGTTAATACTACTTCACTTCCCAAAGGTTTTCTTATTATTAATCATTAGAAACTTCTGCAATTGGACCTGCAGAATGCCAGATATCTGGAAAATGTAACAATGAAAGTTGTCCTAAGGGGTAAGACTAAACTGGCCATACAGACTCTTGTGGGGTCCTGCCACAGTGCTGTAGGTGTATGTGTGATTGCAGTAACGAGCTGACATAGTTTTCATATGACTTCTGAGATGTGAAAGAAGAAGAAGTAAAAAGAAACAAAGTTAATTTGACTCCAGTGAATTTAGAAGCAAAACTACAGCTTTTGCTCAACATTGTAGGGCCAAATTCTTGTAATGGTGTTGGTCTTCTTTGGAGTTACTCCAGGTTCACACTGACAGGAGAATTTCGCCCTGGGGCTACATATCCAGAGTTTCCTCTAGAGGGAGAATAAATATTGTCATAGCTGTTTGTAATTGAAAACACTATGAGAAGACATTCATGAGACTGTCTTCAGCTGTAGCAACAAAAGTGCATGGTTACTACTGACGGATGTCAATCACTTTAAGTGTGGGATCTTTGCTTAGTGTCAGGGCATTGGGGGGTGGCGTTGTATTGCTCTTCTACTGTTGTCATGAAAGCCAGCTGCTAACTTCAGCAAGCCTAGGAGGACCTTAACAAATTGCACTTCTTCCAAATATATCCTTAAGGGTAAGGACAGTTGTTCCCTTACTGTCTTTTCAGTTGAACAGAGACCTGGAAAATGAGGCTAGCAAGCATCTGTGCTGTTAAAGGTTGATTCCTTGCAGGCTTGCAAAAATAGGTTTTTACGACTGGGAACTGTGCTTGGCCAGGTCTGTTAACTGAAGACACGATAAAACTGATTAATGTCCATTTTCCTACTTGATTTATCATAATGTTGATATCCAGACTGCTGTCCCACAGAACAAAGACAGGGGCCCTGATGTTCTGGAGAATCTGGGATTGCATCTGGTAGGAAGAGTTCAGTTAGAGCCTTTGAAGCCTTAAGATCCGTTTATCAATTGGATGCCTCTGACTAGATTCTGTTTTGTGTGTGTAGGTGGGGTTTTTGAAGTTAATCTAAAAAATTATCCTTATGAAGAGGGAGGGGTATTCTAAGGCAGACTTTAACAGCCGTTTTGACTTGACCATTGGAGACAGACAGAAGGCTTGAAGGTCACTACTGACTATGCTTTCATTATGGTACTGCGCAGTCAACTCTTGCTAATGATCATTAGCATTTCCATTCTGTCAGTAAAATAAGAGCTATTCAGTGTGAAGATAGGCTTTATTATTGACTGTAATGCTTTTAAAATACCAGAGCAAAAATGACTGAGATGTGCCTGAGTGGGATCTGCCAAGCTATTGTATTTTGAAATTATTTTCAACCCTATCATAGATAGCATCTTATAGAAGGGAGGGATCTATTTATGGTTTTACCCTTCCCATTTGTGAACGGAACTGAGTACTGATATACATAGGGATGTTGTTTGAAAAGATCAGCATCTGCATGGAGAGCTGACCTTTGAATATCAGTCCTCAGAAAAAGATGTATCAGGGTCTCATCTCTTATCACCCACCATGGAGTGAACACAGCCGATTCCTTCATTGGGTGCTTTTTTATCATCTGTTACTTTTGCCTTTAGGACAGACTTGCTTGATGTTTTGGAACTTTTTGTGGTTGATTTTTTAGTGCTTGAAAAATGCTCTGTTTAAGGTGTTTGGGTCCCACACAGACTGTATGGACTAGGTATATGTTAGTATGCTGCTTCTTTCCATAAGGAATAAAATTGTTGGAGTATATAAAGTAACTGGTGTTTCCTAAGGAAAAGCAGAAGCTAACATGTAAATGAAAAGCCCAGGCTCCATGCCATCATGATCCCTAGTAGAAGTGTGAGATTTAGCAACCTGCATTTGTCTAACAATGTTTGTTACTGTTATTTTTCTAGGGTGCAAGTGCTTACATTCTAAACTATTTTCTATACATTATGTGGGCTCTATGTTTTGCTTTCCTGGCAGTCTCCCTGGTCAGAGTGTTTGCTCCCTATGCCTGTGGCTCTGGAATTCCAGAGGTGAGTTTCTCTTTATGGATGAAAATCCAAATACCAAACAAAACAAAGAAATGATATTTTTCCACCTTTTCACCTAGTCATTATGAGATAGCACAGGATCAAGAAGATGTCTCTCCATCTCATCTGCCTTTATCCTTTTGTCTAACATGCCTTTATGGTGCCCACATAGAGTTTTCATACCTTAAAATGTTCAAGTGCTTTTGTGACAGGTTAATGTACATACTTCATCATTGCCAGAGCTTGAAAAATCCACTGCTCCCAGTCATCACTTTATGGGCTCCGACTTTCTGTGGCTGAGATACATACTCACTAGGAGTTTATATAGAATTTTCCTTGGATGAAATTACTTGGGCCAGTTACAAAAATGGGCATCTTCTAGGTTAAGCTTTAAATAAAACTAAAATAAAATGAAGAGGGAGGGATGCAAATCTAAGGTTTACTAAGCTACTGAAAGATGCAAGGTGCCCATCAGCTGGGATGCCTGAAAAAAGTGTCTGGCATCTGTCTCCTGCAAATTGTGTCTTTGTACACAATGTCATGCTGCTGTGACAGCATTATGACAGCCCAAATCTCTGCCTGGTTTTCAGTATTTTATATATTGAGCCTCAGTCCATATTTAAGTTGTTAGAATGAGGAAACTTGTAATTCAAGTGGCACGGCTACTCAAAATTCTTGAAATCAGGGCAGTCTTTTGTTACAAGTGCTATAGAACTACTGGGATTACTAGGAATCTGGGAGACAGAATCAACAGCCTAAATTTTGGGAATCTTGGCACACTGTTTTCTTCATCTCTAGGAGAAGCATACAAAAGTTTCATAGCCAGTTAGGAAAAAAACCACAACAACCCACAAGTAATTTGAAATATTTAAATAATGTCTGTATTTCAAAGTAGTCACGTGTGTGCTACATGCTTTTTATATCTGTAAGTGGTTTTCAAAGATTTTTGTAGTGAACTGTAAATCTAGTTTCTGAGTGGTAAATCCCTCATGTGAGGTGGTGCTCAGCTCCAGCCTGTTTCCAGGGCTAGAGTCCAAACCCAAATCCCACCCTGCAGCCTGTGTATCATGCATGTGCATTGTGCTCTGTTCTAGTTACTCACATACAAAATCAAGAGGAAATGTTTAAAAATAAGACTTCTTAGGCTTTCTCATGTTATAATACTTGCATGCCTTTATGGCATGGCCAGTCCAAATATTTAGAAGGCTTTTTTGTTTTAACTATGAGAGGCCTGTGATTGGTGTTTTTTTTTTTTTTTTTTTTTCTGATTTGTTCAAGTTGAGTCTAGTTTAACTCTTATTTTGTAAGACAAGGAGATATGTAAGAGTGTCATATATCTCTGTGAGATTCCTTACCAACACAAGGGGCCACCCGTAACAACAGTAAAAGTGTGGTCTGCCTAACCCCTGCTCAGATATCATCATGGGAAGGTTGCCCTACTTGCAGTTTCTTTCCATCATTGTCTCTTCTCAAGCAGTCTGCATTGTTTTTAACTCCCCTGGCATTTTAAATCCATTTGCAAGTTCAGAGTAGAAAAGGTTTCTTCAGCTCTGCAACATGTTCTTCCTGCTTTCCAGATCAAAACCATCTTGAGCGGGTTCATTATTAGGGGCTACCTGGGAAAGTGGACACTTTTAATCAAAACAGTCACCTTGGTTCTGGTGGTATCTTCAGGCCTCAGCCTTGGAAAAGAGGGGCCGTTAGTCCATGTGGCCTGTTGCTGTGGAAACTTCTTCAGCAGCCTCTTCTCCAAGTACAGCAAGAATGAAGGAAAGAGAAGAGAGGTGAGGTTGGCTCACGTGATCTCTAATTTCCCTGTCTGGATACTCGATGTTCCAAAGGACTCATGCCTTGTATGTAAATATTTGTTTTGTAGGTGCTTTCGGCTGCAGCTGCCGCAGGAGTTTCTGTTGCCTTTGGGGCTCCAATTGGAGGTGTGCTTTTTAGTCTGGAAGAGGTGAGACCTGGCAGTTCACTTGCTTCAGTAAATATAATTTCTTTTGATACCTTTTTCCAAAATTCTTTATTTTTCAAATATTATATTCTTATTTTTCTTTTAAAGCAAAAATAATCTTTGATTTCTAGTAATAAACAAGTATTTTAGCCTAATTTGAGCAGGAGAAGAACATTGGCTTTCTGGAAACAAATTGAATGATTCAATCTGGAAACCTATCCCTGTGTTGAAGTTTCTCCAGCTTTCAGCTTGCTGCTGCATGGGCTGAGCTGTCGAGCATTTATTTACCTTATTGTTTCTAGACAGCAGCTTTGGATTTCAATTTATCCATTTTTCAGCCGGTTGCTGCTCCCTGTCTGAAACCTGAAAATGCCTTTTCTGATACCTTTGTGAAAACACTCTGGTTGTGGTAAGGACTAGTGCTCCCACTGAAGCCAGACGTGGTTCACAAATGAAACACATGGCACTGATGAGTAAAGCCAACAACCTTTGTGGAACTCAGTGAGTGTTTACAGTCTCTGCTTGGTTTTAGGTCAGCTACTACTTTCCTCTGAAAACCCTCTGGAGGTCATTTTTTGCTGCTCTCGTGGCCGCTTTCACACTGAGGTCCATCAATCCTTTTGGGAACAGCCGACTGGTCCTGTTCTATGTGGAGTACCACACGCCCTGGTACATGGCTGAGCTGTTCCCCTTCATCCTGCTCGGTGTCTTCGGCGGCCTCTGGGGCACCCTCTTCATCCGGTGCAACATCGCCTGGTGCAGGAGGCGGAAAACCACCCGGCTTGGGAAGTACCCGGTCCTGGAGGTGATCGTGATAACGGCCATCACCGCCATCGTCGCCTACCCCAACCCCTACACCCGCCGGAGCACCAGCGAGCTCATCTCAGAGCTCTTCAACGACTGCGGAGCCCTGGAGTCCTCGCAGCTCTGCGACTACATCAATGACCCCAACATGACCCGGCCGGTGGATGACATTCCTGACAGGCCTGCCGGCCCTGGAGTCTACACCGCCATGTGGCAGCTGGCCTTGGCCTTGGTGTTTAAAATCGTCATCACAATATTCACCTTTGGCATGAAGGTAAATCGGGGGCGGGCACAGAAGCTGTCATGAACACGAAGCACAGGTGGCTTGTGGTCAGCAGCTGTGGTCTGTCTGGCAGGGTCTGTGTACCTTTGACCTACACCCAGCCGTGCAGGTATCATTAAGATGTCTGCTGGTTTCCTTGCCTGCCAGCACCCTGCTCTGTGGGCCCCTGTTGCAGCAGAGGGCTGAGCCCTGCTTTTCTCATCTGTGGCTTTATTGAGTGAAAAAGAAGCCTGGGTGGGAATTCAAATCTGCTGTTGCCAATAAACAAATTCAAGATGATGCCCACTGCAGCTGTCTTTCAGCTCTCTCAGGACTACGGTTGGTTGTTTAATAAGACAATTGTTGTTTGTTTTATCGGATTAATGTCTTAATGTTCCTTGAAGTAGCAATGCTCAGGAAAGTAATAGCTTTAAATTTACAGATTTACACATTTAAAACCTCACAAAAATATAAAAGTAGCTGAAAAGTTCTATTGTAAAATCTTTTTAAGCACTGTAGGTGGGAAAAAAAGAGGGAATGAGCGGGAGGACTGACAGATGTATGATTTGATTATTCTGAATTTGCAGCTTTTTCCTTTCACCCCTTATCCTCCCCAGAAACGGGTGATGAAAGGTCCAAGAACAATTTATCCAAGCTTTCAATATATACAAAGCTGTTTGTGGTGAGTTTTATGTATCTGATTGCTAGAGCCCATCTAAAACACCTATCTGCCTGTCTACAGCTCCCATTATCTGAACATTTAGTTCTGGATTTGACTGCAGCAGATGATGGGAAGTTTTTTTGAGTTATACAATATATTTTATGCCACACTCAAAGCTAAAGCGTCTCATCTTTCTCTTAAACACTGCGCTTGAACAGAGGATCCATCTTTTAGAAGGCCTTTCACCCAAAATACAGTGGGAAGTTGTTTTGCTTTCAACTATTCTATAAGAACAGACAAAATAGCTTTATCTGCCAAATTTAGAAGACTCTATCCAACTGTATCAGCAAAATTAATGCTCTCTGATGGGGGAGATAGCACTTGCTGTTGTCAGCCCTAATGCCTTTGGGCCAAACTAAGGTTGTTAGATTAGTTCTCTAGGAAGCTCAAGGTATATTTTCAGAATTAAACAGATATAACAACCTTTCATCTCTTAAAACAACAAAAACTCCATGCCAGCCCTTGCCACAGATTTGAGCTCTCCAACTTGCAGGTGCACTTGACATCTAAGAGAAAAAACACTTTCCCCCTTTCCCCTTCTCATTTTAATGCTGTTTTATAATGATCTGTTACTTGTCTGTATAGCAGACAACAACGTAATGATTCATAAAACCTCCTGAAAAATACATAGCAAACTGAGATGAAGAAATAGCTGCCTCTGAGCAGTCAGACTCCTATCTCTGAATTTCTATTTTGCATTTGACATTTAATTTAAGACCTGGTCTGATTTAACCTGAAAGAGTAGTAATAAAACTATAAAGCAGTCAGTGTGATAGAGGGTGAAATGGAGATCTTATTGTCAGTTAAGCTTATTCTCAAGCCCATGACACAGCCATCGGCAGCTCCTGACTTCCGGCTGAGAAGGCAATAAAGGCAAAACCAGGAGCATCTTGACATTAAAGGCAGATTGTTATTCAGAAACACCACTTATCTACCCAATTCGGTATGATGCAGCAGGTGGAATTCAAAATTACTTAATAAAATGCATTAAATTTCATGAAGCTGTTAATACACATGCAGCCACACAGTCACTGCAGAAGCCTATCTCAGACCATGGGAAACATCATCGTAGGCTGCCACAAGACTGTGACCTTCTGAGCTAGCATTTAATAAGGAAACTGGGTTCGTTTACAGCTAATAATAAAAATTGTTTCGTCAATAAGTTCATTACTGTTTTTTTTCATCAAGGTGCTCATGTGTCTATATTTTATCCAAGATTCCTTCAGGTCTTTTCATTCCCAGCATGGCTGTTGGAGCCATGGCTGGCAGGATGGTTGGGATTGGAGTAGAGCAGCTGGCATATCACCATCATGACTGGATCATCTTCAGGAACTGGTGCAGACCTGGGGCAGACTGTGTCACACCTGGACTTTATGCTATGGTGGGAGCAGCAGCTTGCTTGGGTACAGTACCTGCTGATCATTGGTTCATGCATGAATAATAACAATGATGTGTGGGGACCTCCAAATTGTTTATGAGGGCTTTATGTTTGTGTTAGGTGCTATGCTGGCACTTCTGGATGTAATAGAAGTTGAAGTCAGGATGCGATGGGCTAAAGTATGGGCAGCTTCCTCTAATGATCTCCAGTGATCTGCCAGATAGTCAACAACAGAGAAGCTTGCAGTCACCAATGCCTTCTCCTTGTAGTTCGCCAAAAAGGACATAGAAAGAAAGAAAAAAATAAAGTTCAGCTACATGTTTCCAAAAAGAAGAGATTTTTCCTGAGTTTATTTTTCCTTCTAATGTAATGAAATCCACTCTTGCTGGACTAAAGCTACTTCCTTGTTTTGACTGTGCCGTTTCTCAGTGCAGGGAACAAACTTCCCAGTTCTGAGGTAAAAATTTTGGGTCTTATTTTGGCTGTGTCACACTATGGTCAACTGGGCTGTATTTTGGTTTTTGTTTTAACCATAGGCCAATGTCTGATTACATTTAATCAATAGGATTTATTTGATGTAAGAGGAATTAACTATTAAAGCAAGACAATTGAATAATAGCTCACATATCAAATTTCTAGTCATAGATGCAACAGGAATGTTAAAAGCATACCATCTGAATGTGTTTTTGCCTGATCGTATCTTTCCCCTTCTGTACTTGCATGTTCTACCTCCTTTTGTTATTGTTGTCAGTACTGTCATGAGATAGTGAAATAAGAGCATGGAGTCATAGTGCATGATTAATGTAATTGGATAGATTTGAAATGAAAGCTGTACTCAGGGAAAAGCTGGAAAAGTTTCAGTTTTGGAGTCCCATGTTAGAAAAGCAGATAATTTGTGCAATCAGTTATAGAGGAAGGAAGGGTGGGGATGTGCTTGGCTAATTTTAATGTCTGTAAAGTAGACTTCAGCATCTGAGCTAGCTGTGTTGATATCCTTCACAGACAAAACAGAAGAATGAGGTACTGGAAAGATCAGTCTCATCTGGCAGTAGACATCTAAAACCAGGCAAATGAACAGATGAACTTGGCCTCAAAAGTGCCTGTTTTTCTCCAGAGATTATAAAGGCAATCTGGATCACCTCTTTGGATGTGAACACCTACAGCAGTATAGACACATTAAAACAGCTAGGGTGAATCTTACTGTCAAAAAGAGCAAAGCATTTCCTCTTCTCCATATAAACATTCTTAATGTTCATAAAAGATGTAACACAAAAATTTTTCTCTGATACTCCATTTGATCTGCTAGTCAAAAACCACTTCCTTTTAAACGGTCCAAATCAAGGTGCAGTGATTTTAATAGTATGGTGAGACATACAGCAGAATGGGCACTGCTAAGCCCAAGACCTGTCTGGCTCAGAGTAAGAGATATAGAGTAAGTAGTAAACGATCCTTACTCTGGTATCTGCTCTCAGCTTTTCAGTCAGAAGTTTAAGGCGTTCCTCAGATGAAAGTCACATCCGGATCATTGTGTTAAATAATCAACAATTTAATTTTCCTGTATGCTGCTAGATTAAAAGTGTCTTTTAATGATCTGTTTCTGATTTCTTGCATCTAAAGTGGTGCTGTATTTTGAGGCCTAAAAATAGCAGATTTATTACATTTACCTTTTGGACAGAGGCAAAGAAATGTTACCTAATAATTCAGTGATACATACACAGTTGTCTGAAGTTGTATGATTATTTTTATCCTTTAATGTAAACTGAAGGAGAAAGGAGCTTGCTTATGAAATTGATACAGAAAGACAAGATTGAGAAACACAGCTACAACCCTGGCTGTGGCTGCATGCCTAGATGGCCTCAAACCAAGTTGTATACAGTTTAAACTGTGTTATACTGATATAAAAAGCTAGGGTTTAAGCTGTAACATAGCTCTTGCAGTGGTCCTAAACTGTCCTTATGTAGGATTTTGTAACCATGTCGTGCCTGAAAACAGTGCTTAGCTTTCTCTTCAGTATGGATGTGGTAGGTAAGCCAATGTGAAGACCAGCTCTCGGAGTTCCTGTCTGTCCCAGCCATGGTACCTGGCTGATTCTTGGAGTCATTTAGAGGGCCAATGGCATAACCCAGATTTAGTTTTTCAGATGCCAGATATAGCTGACATTTGGCATACTTTCTGGTTGGATAGCTCTTTTAGCGTTCATTATTTACTTTTCAATGTTAGTATTTATGACTTGAGCCAGTTCACTCAATCTTCATGATGAAAATCGAAGTAAATGAAAAATCTTTCTTCAGAGAAATAAGCCCAAAAATACTTCACAAAGTATAAGGGCAAAGTACTCAGCATGAATAATCTCACGGCTTTTTGAGCATAAGACTTAAACATATCAGTTAATTGCTAAGTATGTATATTTCAAGAGCAAGAGGGAAAGTTTCAAGAGGGAAATTTGATTGCTTTCCTTGTTGGCAGGTGGTGTTACCCGAATGACAGTCTCCCTGGTGGTGATTATGTTTGAGCTAACTGGAGGCCTGGAGTACATCGTACCTCTTATGGCTGCAGCTGTCACAAGCAAGTGGGTGGCAGATGCCTTTGGAAAAGAAGGGATCTATGAAGCTCACATTCATCTGAACGGTTACCCGTTTCTGGATGTGAAGGATGAATTCACCCACAGAACGCTGGCAACAGACGTCATGAGACCAAGGCGTGGTGAAGCTCCTCTCTCTGTTCTGACACAGGACAGCATGACAGTGGAGGATGTTGAGACACTGATCAAGGAGACTGACTACAATGGCTTTCCAGTAGTGGTTTCAAAAGACTCTGAGAGACTTATTGGATTTGCACAGAGACGAGAGCTGATTCTTGCAATAAGTGAGTAGAGTATTTGATTTCGAAAGGGTGGGATATTACTGGTGTTATTCACCTTGAAGAATGGATAAATAAGAACTGAACCCAACTTTTTCCTTGTCTGTCTTTTACTAGTTTCTAGGACCCGTAAGTGGAAACTTTTCTATCGCAACGTGCCACCTGGTAGAATTCTGTGGGCTTGACATTTGCAGTCTTAGTTTTGCCATCACTCACAACAGTACAAAATAGTTCTGCTGGAGACAACAGAGATAAACCCAGTTCATATGGCCAAATGTTTTGTCAGAACCAGACTAAAAGCTACTGCAGTTTTGAGGTTCCTGCAGTCTTCACAGGCTGCCAGCAGCAGCTAGGGCAGTCATGAACATTTGTCACCAAACTACAAGTCCCTCTGCTTGTTTCTGTTGCAATATCTTGAATTTTTCTCTCAGGCAGGCCTTTTGCAGAAGGGGTGGAAGGCTGTTCAGTGAAGGATGTTGTTTGGTAAAGATGGATGAATTTTCTCAAGAATTGAGTGGATAGCTGGCTGGTTACTTGAGGGCCCAATCCAGGCCTTTACAGATTTTGATCCATCAGGTCCTTTCCCGGTTGGCCTGATGGCTAGGTGGGAATTGAAAAGGCAGATATACTGGGTGAAAGCAAGTGTTCCCACCTTTCCCGTACCCAAAGTGTCCAGAGCTGCAGAGGTCTGCGAGCCTGGCAAATCAGTCCCAGGGTCCACTCCCAATTCTGGCAGTCCTGTAGTGTGGAGTTCCAGCTAGGCAGGCAGGCTGCTGGCTGGGCATGGTTGCCTTATACTTTGCAGGGAAGCGGAATGCCTGGGATATCCAAATCTCCCTGACATGGAATTATTCTTTTCTGCGTGGGCTGGTTTCATCCCCCTCCTTCAGACCCATTTGAAAAGCTGTTGTCTCAGATGGAAACTCCCATATTCTTCAGAAAAGAAAAGACATAAATGGAAGATCAGGGCTATTTTTAGAGGGCCACTTCATCTCTCCTTTTCACAAAGCTAAAATAAAATTTGAAATGATGGTGCTTTTTAAAGTACATGGGGTTTTAGTGTACATTTATTTTCAGTTCCTGGATATAAAAAGATTAGACCTAAAATTGGTAATTGTTTTTTAAAGTACACTCAGATGCTACCTGATTCCTCTCTTCTCATGCCATAGCAGAAAGTCACCAATGCTACATCGATACTAGAGACAGAAGAAGAAGAAATGACAGAGCCTAGTTTTCTCCCCTTAAAATCTCGTGCAGAGTTCAGTAAGGAAGTAGTTTCTTATTTTTTCCCCTTCTGTGGTGTAAGGTGTGATTTCAGTTGGAGGAAAGAGTTTATGAACTGTATTCATTTTGCATTTGGTTATACCACTAATTTTTCAAAACACGGGAAAGCAAAACAGGCCTTACAGCCAGTTCTGCAGCTCCCCTAATTGTACAATTGTAATTTAACTTCCAAGGAGTGTGGGAATTGTCACTTTTTCATTAAAAGCTCACTATCACTGGTTGCTCCTTCCTCTCTTCTCCAAAACCAAGCAAGCAAAAAAAAAAAGTCCCCATAAAGTTATAATCCTCTATGTACCAGTCTCAGTATAAGAGTATTTTAAAGACACCAAGATGAAGTCCAAGGCTCATAGCTGCAATACCTCCTTCAAGCAACTGATTTTCTTAGAGGACTAATCTTCTTTTGGTAATAACAAAAGATGCCTTGTGTGGCCAAGCTAGGAAAGTCAATATGTGTCTGGAGTTTCACCAAAGGAGCAAATGCCAAGAGCTGATACCATTTATAAAACAGTTTGTTATTTTATCCTTCGTATGCTAATGATTTTCAAATGTCTTCTGCGTTCTCCTGTGAGAAGTAAAAAAATCTTAATTAGATGTATTTAGCTTACCCTGTGTCTGGGTTTTACACTGTCCATGCCGTGGCGTGGCTGTAACACTTACTACCATCCTAACTTCATAGCCTGTTGCATCTTCCTGGCAGTGATGTTTATCAGTGGGAGAACTGCATGGAGGAAAGATGCAGGGCCCTCATTTTGAAAGCAAAAATATCAGATGCTGTCTGAAGAGTCAGAGAAGTTTGAGGAACTGACTGTTTAGATTCAGCTTATAAATTGCAACGTGGCTGAGTGGGCTTGCTAGAAGATGTGCAAAATACCTGTTCACATACAGCTCTCTGCCTTGTAAGTTACTCCTATAGAATTTCTTTCTTCCCAAGTGGAGCACTAACCATGCTCTAAAAATGCATCCCATCCCTGTAAAGTGAATGGCAATGCCACTTCCCACTGCTCAAATGCATCCTTTGAGTGGTCCTTGTTGAGCAGATAGGCAGATCAGGTGGGTAGACTTATCCTGTGGGAATAGGAGTCTACATTTTAGATGGCACCTATTTTACAGCCTTATGGAAGAGGAGTATTTGACCCTGTAAAGCTCTACTTACATTTCACCAGCTTCAGAGGTGTCATACAAAAAGCAGAGTGTTGGACACAAGCCAAGTGGCCTGTATAATGTACTTTTACCAGTGTGAAGTAGAGAAAGCAACGTGGTTAATACAGACTTTGAACTATGAACTCCTGAATATTAGAGGCCATTTCACATTTGGGAGAACTAATTCACTCTCTAGCTATGACAGGAGCCTTCTGCACAGATTACTCTGTAAAACAGAGATTGGCATCCATTTGCTTTGCTCTTTCTGTTAAGTTGTATCTGTCTTTCTTACCCACTGACTGCAAAAATGATCTGTTCTTGTGTTTTACCTTTGCTCTAACTCCCCCATCTAGTGAGACTGCATACAAACTCCACCATTTTTCTAATGCTGCCGAATTTGCTCAGTAGTACTACATCATTCAGATTTCTCCAGAGGGATGTTTGGCTTTGAAGAGTGAAGTCATGGCTTTGGTTAATCACTGTTGTCCAGGGTCATTGCCGCCCTGGGAACAGCTACGTGGTAACTGAAAGGCTTGGCCCTGTTGCTTTGGGTGCAGTTTTGGGAAGGAAATACCTAAATGTCAAGGCTTTTTATCAAAGACTGGGAGTTGCCTTCAGTTTGATTAATGTTACCTCTTAGCACAGATCGTATATCAAAGAGCTATGCAGGCATATTCACACTTGATATTAGATCTATGAATCAAAACAAGATGAGACAAGGTTAGCATCGTTCTTATAAATTGCAATAGGGCTTGTAATACGTGGGGTGGGAAGGCCGAAAATCGTATACTCAGTAGAGTTAGTAGAGATAGTAGGTTTGAGCCAGCACTGCTGCACTTTATAATACAATGGTCATTAAAGCGGAAAAAAATGCATCTGGAACCACTACTGTCTACACATTACAAGTCACAGGAGCAGGTTTCTGCAGTTTGATTAATGGCAATGAGCCCCAAGAAGATATACATACACTTTGAGTATGTCTGATTTGCTGTATCTTTCAAGAACAGAGGCAACCTATATTAATCAAAGATAATAATTCTAACCATATCCAAGAATTTCTAAAAGAAGTTTAAAAAAAAAAAAAAAAAGAAGAAAGAGTTAAACTCTCAGAGCCAAATAAATGATATGTTTATTCTGGGGAGAGAGAAGTTGTGTGTCATATGAAAATACATCTCATCCTCTTATATATTCTTTGTGCCTGTAGTGTTGAGTAGAAATGAGGTAAACACTACAAAGAAAATAAGCTACTTCAATGTTAAGTGTTCTCCTTGCAGCATGCTTTAAAGTAAAAGGCTTGTACTGGCCATGTAAATTCCAGATGTAGCGTAAAGTTCACTTCATATTTTGATGAAACTATGAATGATAGCTTTGGAACTTTTGAAAGTGGTCAAGTATGTCCTGTTGAGGAAAAAGTATCAAACTTATTTACTGCTATATTTTGTTCCTCTCTTTACTACTTTTCTTTAAGTAGGATGCTATTTTTTTCTGCCCTTGTAAAATCTACATAGGCAAACTCTTTTTAAGGAATTAAGTGCAAAGCGACAAAATTCACCCTGCATGCCAGAGGGGTGTGCCAGTCTGGAACAACACCCATACTGCCCCCAGATCCCTGGGATGTGA